AATTAAATTATTTATTTTAAAAAAATATATGTGCATTCTTATTATATACAAATATAATTTGAAAATAGTACGCAAATGTATATAAGCAAAAACTTAAGTGCGAAAATATTTCTATGTGCAAATAGAATAAAGAGGTGACAACACAAAAAGTTATAAGAGAAAAAAAAAAACTATTTAAAATTTGAGACTAATAACACGGAAAAGTAAACATTAAAGTTAATATGTTACCTTAACTAATATTGAAAAAAAAAAATAGTGTAATTTTTAAGGATTTAATTTTACATAATAAAAACAATGAGGCAAAACGGAATATAGTGTGATTTTTAACAATTTAATAATTGTGTATTTAATTTTGTATAATAAAAACAATAAATATATATATAAAAATAATAAAATATTAAAATATTTTATTACCAAAATTTGTTGAAAAAATAACCATGAAAACAGAATTTTCAATAATAACATGGTGCTCGACTTATAGTACAATATACAAAAAAAAAAAAAAATATCCTTATATGAAGTCGTGCGGAAATACATCGATTATTTTATACAATGTGCAGTCGCTGTTATTTAATACACATTACAAAAAGCAAGCAATGTGAAATATATACAAAACTCATTACGATCATTATGTTCAGCATGAAAACACAGGAAAGCATAAAAAACACCGCAGACTGAAGCTTGATAAAAAAGGAGCGTGTTAAAGTTAAAGAATAAAATTTACGTTGAGTGGGAATACATGGGCAATAAAGCGGTGCCGCAGTGATCAGAGATGGGTGGTGCAAAAATAATAGGTATGAGATGTAACCTATATTATATTATATATATTACATAAAAATATTATATATATTATAAAAAATAATAAGAAAAAAAAAAACCAAATAACACAAATATAAATTAAAAAATAATCATATTTTGCAGTAATTTGCTAAAAAATTAATTTCATTTTTTTAAATAAATTTATTCTATATTTATATTAATAAATTGGTATTACGACCGATATTTAATTAGTTTTTTATATATATACCGGGCTTAGGTCGTTTATTTAACACATAGGTTTATAAAAATGTTTTTTTAAAACAATTAAAAAATTTTTACACTTTTTTCCAACTGTGTTAAATGTTTAAATTTATTTAATTTTTATACAAAAATTATATTAATACAAATATTTCGGTCTACATCGTAGACCATCTTCAGTGTATATAAAAGATTACATATTTAATTATATGTAAATAAACATATAAACATACAATCAAAACAAAAAACCAAAAATGACAAACATTGTTGTCTCTTTCAATGTTTGACATTTTTTAACATTTAAATTTATTTGAACAAAAGCAAAACGTTAATTTAAAAAAAAACAATAAAATTTAAAATTAAAATCAAAAATAAATATACGAAAATATTTTTTAATTGGTAACAATGGAAGATAAATTAAACTTTTTATATAAAACTATAAATTTATATTAAATTTTTTTTTTTATTTTAATTATGGTTAATCAGAGACCTGTAAATTTGTGCAAGACCCTCTGTGTCTTTTTTGTAGTTTAGTCTCTGATTGTCTGGAACTTCAATAATATGTAACATTTCAAGCATTAACCTACGTCTGTAATTAGGGTCTTTGTTGATGATCTGTACTTCTTCAAAATTTGGAGTATGGTTCATCATAGAGCAATGGGTTGCTAATGCTGTCTTTTGGTCAACGGGAGTTGTTCTGCTCTTTATGTCGTGTCTGTGGCCAGCGATTCTCGTCTTGAGTTTATTTTTTGTTGTACCAACATATACCTGGTGGCATACGTTAGACCCGTCACCTCCACATGGAATTTTGTATACGACATCATGCTCATCTAATTTGTCTATTGGACTTTTTGTTTTATTAAAGAAGCGATTTTTTAGCGTGTTTCTCGCTTTGAAAGCCAAAGTGTGCGTGTCGTCATTATAGCATTTAGATTTGCTAAAATTTTCCGAAAACCCAGGGATATACGTCATAGGGAGATACATTTTTGGTTGGGGATCGGATATTTTCTTACGCACTATATTCACTTGTTTTAGAAGAGAAACAATTTTATATTAATATATATTGTAAAAATTGTAATTTCTTTGAATAACTTGCACTTAAAAAAAAATGTGTGGCAGCAAGGCCAAATTTAATAGGCCACAGGCCAATGTAATAAATGAAGTTGATATAACGGAAGTTCAACAAAATATTACCATGTATATTGTAATAATTATTATAATTATGTTATTAAATTTGTTCATTAAATTATATCTGATGCACAGAAGAACAATAAAGAAAAAATACATGAGATCTGTTGCACAAAATTTGGATAAAATTTAAAAAAAAACAAAATCTGAAAACACAAATTTTAAAATACATGTATACCAACTGACATAAATGGACAAATGGACTGTCATTGAAAAGCAATTAAAACAAGAAAGAGACAATTTTAGTAGATCATTTAAATGTGTTTATAGAAACACTACAATTAAAAAAGAAACTGTAAAAAAGCATTTAATTATCTTGGTAGACAGTTTAGAAAAAGTTAAAACAATTGTCAGGGTATACAATACAAAATTGACAAAAGATCATGACAACTTTGCAAGGTCAGTATATTGGGAGCTTAGGGATAAACTACTAAAAGTTTACTCTAAATATAATATAGAAGAGGATATCCCACACTGTTTAGACAACCCGATACGAATTGATATCAACAAATTATTCGTAGCGGAGTTATCAGAGTTAAAAGAATTAGTTGTTTTGCCTCCTATATCTGAAAATATTACCGATACAGTCATGTCGCAGACTATGATTGAGTTTTTAAATACAGCAGCCAGACTCATACCTGAGTTTGATGGCAAAGCTGAAAATCTCAGAACTTTCATAGATGCATTGCGACTAGTTCAGTCATTAATGTCTGTAGAAAATATAGTTTTCACATGAAATAAAATACAACTGTATGCTGCGAGTGTGCATTTATTACTACTTTTAACAAAAAAGAATAATTCAATAGTAAGTATAAAGTTAAAGAAAAAAGAGATTAAAATATTAATTCATGATAAGAGATATTTATGATATTAAGAGACATTTTTTACATCCTGGGACCCGGCGAATCGCATATTAATTCAAGCGGATATAGTAGTTGGAGAGGTCTTCTCATAATTTTCTGGTCTTTGAGTCTGACATCGCACGCTCTGGCACGCCCATCTCGTCCAATGTAAGTAGCTACCACCACTGCCATTCGCCAAAGAAGTCTTGATTGATGTTCATCTTTGACCAATACTACATCGACAATATTTATAGATTTTGTTGGTTTAGACTTATTAAGATGAATTGAGCGTAATTGAGTTAAGTATTCGTCCTGCCATCGTTTTAAGTAACGCTTTAAAATATAAGTTCGTGATTGCCACATTTTTGCTATAGTGATGCCGTCAGACAAGAAATTTTCTTTGCTTAACACACCACATTCTCCCAAAAAATGTGCAGGTGTTAACGGCGCCAAATCGTTACAGTCAGTAGTAATATAGGTGAGTGGTCTTTGATTTACTACACTTTCTACTTCTGTTAGTAAAGTATCCATTTTATAAAAAGTCAGCCTTGCTTTCCCAATTGCTGCCTTTAAACAGTTTTTTACAGTTCGTACAAGCCGCTCCCAAAATCCACCCCACCACGCTGCACGTTCTGGAATAAACTTCCACTTAATGCCATTGGCTACAGCAAAATGGTTGATTTTGGTTTTCTCCATTAGTTGTTAGTTGTTTGCACTTCCATACAAAGTTTTCGCATTGTCTGATATAATAATAGAGGGGGTACCACGCCTTGCAATAAATTTTCTTAGTGCGTTTATACAGCTTTCAACAGTTAAATCTGCTACCAGCTCCAAATGGATTCCTCTAGTTGCTGCACAGGTAAACAACATTACATACGCTTTTTTAAAACCATTTTTGTTGTCAGTAGAAGTTATATATAATGGACCAGCAAAGTCTATGCCAGTGGTTTCAAATGGTTTGGATACAGTGACAGTTTGGATACAGCATCAGTGACCAGATGCAGTTTTCCCATGCAGCCTTTTGCAAATTATACACCGCTGTACAACGCTTTTAATAAGTTGCCGGCCTTTAACAACCCAAAATCGCTTTCGAATCTTAGCTAAGGTAGCATTAATTCCACTGTGCATAAACTTTTGGTGCGCTTCCGAAACAATCAACTTAGATAAATATGACTCCTTTGGTAATATAATTGGATTGCTTAGATTTTCATACTCAGTCGTTGGTAAACGACAAGAAAGTCGCAGTAACCCATCTATTAAAACGGGATTCAATTGTAAATTTTTTGATTCCGCTCCAATTTTTTGTCCTTTCTTCAACGATATTATTTCTGACAAAAAATACTCACTTTGTGCACACCCAATCCAATAAACTTCCGCTTTATTTAATTCTTCTAGAGTCAAATCATCAATCTTCTCCAATTCAGTATTGATAGATTGCTGAATTCCTTTATTTTTTATATTCCTTAAAAATCGAAATACGTATGCGGTAACTCTTAACATTTTCCGTAAATTACTAAACTTTTATATATCAAATATAGTTTCCTTAGATATACTGCAAACATTCTCTTCTTGAACATTCTCTCCATTCGTTGCTTTCCATGATAAGCCATGATGGACCCCATTTCCATAATTCTGACTGCATCAATTGTTTGGCTTTTATACCACGAGTTAACAGATCTGCTGGATTACATTTGCCATCACAATGACGCCAGTCATATACATTTGTTAGTTTGTTAATTTCGCTTACTTTTGAGCTGATATTCTGTTTTACTTGTTTACCTTCTCCAGTTATCCATTGCAGAGCTATATTTGAATCTGTCGACATGTTAATAGAAGAAAAATTTATGTTTAACTCAAGCTTTAAAAAATTTACTAATCTGGCTGCAATAAGCGCGGCTGTTAGCTCTAACTTTGGTAAAGTGAGTTCGCTTTTATTTTTATTTTTAATAGGACTTACTCTGTTTTTAGAACATATAAGGCTTGTAAATAATTTGCCACTAGACAAAATTTCTCGTAGGTATGCAACAGCTCCGTATGCAATCGGGCTCGCATCTGCAAATACATGTAGTTGAATTGTTGACAAATTGGATCTTACCAGGCATCGACTAATAGTAAAATATTTTAAATTATGTAAATCATCACACCATTTATTAAAATCATCCGCTAAGCTTTCAGGCAAGGTAGAGTCCCAGTCTAAATTTTCTTTCCATATCCTCTGCAATAGTGTTTTGATTTTTACAGTAAACGGACCTAAAAATCCTAAGGGATCATAAACTCCAGCCATAATCTTTAATACATTGCGTTTAGTGGGTCTTAAATTCCGAGAAATCTCTATACAGTGATCTAAATTTATAAATAAATTATCTTCATAAATGTTCCATAAAACGCCAAGCACCTTTTGTATCGGATGCTGCTCTTCATTATTTTCTTCAAATTTTCGTCGTAAGTCTTCGCTGTTGGAGGTCCATTTCCGCAAATTAAAACCTCCTATTTTCATTATTTTCGTTGCAATGAGGTATAAATATTCAGCTTCTTGAACAGTTGATATACTAATTATTAAGTCGTCTACGTAAAATGAGTTTTTTAGTTTGTCACATATTAAACCATATTGCTCAACATTGCCTTGCAGATGTTGCTGCATTGTCGACGCTAACAAGAAAGGACTAGCTGTTACACCAAAAGTTACCCTTGCCATTCGATAAATTGCAATTTCCGCTGGTTTGTTATCATCTCTTAAATTTTCATACCAGAGGAAACGATGACTATCTCTATCATTCTGATTTAATGTAATTTGTAAAAATGCTTTTTCTATATCTGCACTCATTGCAATTTTGTGACAACGAAATCTTAGCAATATCGAAGTTAAATCTGCCAATAAGTTCTTACCTAAATCAAGCATATCATTAAGTGATGCCATTCCTGGGTCACTTGAAGAGGCGTTGAACACAATGCGCATTTTTGTTGTAATTTTATCTTCTCTGTACACTGGACGATGCGGCATGTAATATGTTCTCTCATTACTATGGCTATCTGGTACTTCCTCTGCTATTCCAGACTTAATTAGTTCGCGCATTCCAGTGTCGTATTCGATTAGTTTATTATGATCTTTAAATAATTTAGAACTAAGAGTTTTGAGTCGATTTAGAGCATTATTTTTATTATTATGAAGGTAGACATCCTTATCATATTTCCATGGTAGGCTTACAGTATAACGTCCATTAATTTTCGCTAAATTTACTTTTTTAAGAGGTTTTGTACATTCGGGGTATGATTTAATACCAACGGATTCTAAATCCCAAAATTTAGAAACGTCAAAATCGTTTGAATCTTCGATAACATTCAATACATATTCGCGTTTGAGTTTGATTATCTGAACAGCCTTGAATTGTCCAACCGAAAAATGTTTCAACTGCAACCAAATTCTCAGTAATATATTCACAATTATCAGAGTTAAATTGCCAATAATTGTCTTGGCCAATTAATAAATTAATACCAGTCATTTGTTTTACATTTGTGACTACATTTTCAGCCATGTTTTTAATTTTATCATATATGTCACCAGGAACTGGTATAACATCAGCACATATATTTTGCACAACTGAAGCATAAATTTCTTTAATTTCATCGGAATATTGGCTTTGCACTTTTTATATTACACGTTTTATTTGCTTAACTTTTCTATTGTGGCTACTTTGGCCAAACGAAATAATTCGTGTGTTGTCAATACCTACAACCGGTAATTGTAGCTGCTTTGCCAAATATTCGGTAACATATGTTCCTTGACTTCCATTGTCCATAATCACTCTTGTTAAACATTTAGATTCATCACTTGAAACTATCGCTTTAGCGGTTTGTAAATAAACTTCATTTTTTCCAACATTTAACATTGTGTTCAGAGCTGCTGATGAATTTAATGTGCTCGTTTCAGGCAATGCTGGTTTTTCCGTTGTAGTTGTTACCGATTGGCGTTCAACCAAATTGTCTACGCTGTTTAATTTAAACGTTTTATTCTCACAAATAGCACTCATATGGCGACCACTGCAAATGGAACATTTTATCCACTGATTTTTACAGAACTTAGAAGTATGATTTGCCTTACCACATCTGAAGCACCTTCCTTGACCTTTTAATATATTTTTCTTTTGATTAATTCCAATGGTTTTGTCTTTGCAATCACTTGTATTATGATTTGCGCGTTTACAAAAAATGCAATTTCTGTAAATTTGTTCAGAAAAATATAAACCAACGGCTGTGCCTCGTGCTGTCTTTGTTTTGTCATTATCCCTTTTATCTGCATTGCAGTGAGTTGACATTGTTGCTTTTTCTAATGCTTCTACTTCAATTCTGATATGTTCTAATAACGTTATTAGCTGATCATCATATTTTATTTTTGTTATGCTTTCACCATTTTCTGTTGCCGTTGAATTGAGCATAGTCGAATGGTGAATACCTCTTTTTTTCTTTTTATGAAATTCTACTCTTATATTCGGAGGAATTGCTTTTAATATTAAAGAGTATACCATGATTGTATATTGAGAAGAAGGAACGCCGAGAGCCGTGAGTGTTCTAATTGATGATTTTGTTTCATTATACAAACTTCGTAAACCTTTTATATTCGATGATGAATGTACAGCTTGAACGTTAAGTAATTTTTGGATGTACTTTTCGATTATTTTTTCTCTGTCTCCATATTCTTCCAACAACAAATTTAAAGCGTCTTTGTAACATGCTTCTGTTGGAATGAATACCGCTATTTTCGCTGCTGCTTCACCGACTAACGCTTCGTTTAAATAATTAAATTTTGTTGCTGCATCTAGCTTTTTATTATCATTGTTGTGAGTTAAATATTTATTTTATTTAATTTCACGGGTTTTGGCAGTTTTTCTGTATGGTAGTGTGTACGATCTTAGGTGATCGTACATTTTCCCTAAAAATAGGCAAGGTTATTTGCATCTGGGCAGTTGTTGACTAGAACCAAAGCATCAGATCGTCAGTTCGACGATAAGAAATGCTGAGTTTTGGTATTTGGTTAATAATTGGTGTCACGATGTAAGTGATTTTGAAATTGTAAATACGGAAGAATTGCAAAAATATGTAGAGCATTCTTATTAATAATAAAAACTTTGCAAATTTAGCAAAGTAAATTATGAAACTATGGAAAAACCCGATTAGGTAACTAGGGTAATTTGAAGGTCATATATTGGATTTTTGCATCAAGTTTAGGTATATAAGATAGATTTAAAACCACAAAAAGTGAGTTAGAGTTGAGGAGTTAAAGTTGTGAGTTAGATATAAAAAGTGGTTAAGAGAAGAAGTGCTTTGAAGCATAATATACATTTAGACCAACATAAAATGATCAAGCGTAGTAGCGCTGACGAATAAATTTGAAACAAATAAGTCGTGTGTGTCTAAAATTAAAAAAAAAAAACAAAAAATATATTTGTAACAATTTAAAGGAAAATAAATAATTTCAATAAATAAAAATATTGTGAAACTAAACTAAAGTGCTAAGTGTTTCATTAATTGCTAAGGACATTATAAAATAGCTACAGACATTTATGTTAAGAAAATTGTAAAAGGATGCAACTGAAGTTAAATAAAAAAATAACATTTAGTCCAAACTGTTGAAGTCACGTTTTCCATGAGAACCACAACATCATGTACAGCTACTTTAAATTGCTCCCAAAAGGGCAACCAACTTTCAAATGCTCCGTTAAATTTTTTCAATTCTATAGGTTTAAGTCTGACTCCATTACTGTTATTGGAATTTTCAAAGCCCTGAATTATACTTTCCTTAAGGTCTGAGTGAAATGGTTCGTTGCTGGAAATCTTCAGCCGCTGTATGTTATATTCAAGTTTCGCAATAACTGCTATTGCTTTGTCATCATAATCAATTACTATGTCAAAATCTTTGTCATCTTGAACCATTTCATCAGCCTTTTTCAACTTTTCGTGGGCGTTCTGAAGCCGCTTCAGGTTAATAGCCAGGCCTTCTTCAGTAATGTTATCAGGCTCGTTCAAATAATTATTGATCTGATTACACAACTTTGTAAGTAGTGTGCGGCACGATGTCCTATATAGTGGGTCGCTCATATTTTATGATGAATTTTATTTTACGATAAAATTTAAGTATTTAAGTTTCTTTTACACTCGCCCGTTAGATTTTTTTTTTTTTTTTTTTTTTTTTTTTTTTTTTATTGCTACAACTATTTACATTATAAATAACGAGTAGCTTGAATCTGATAAATACTATACATACGTAAATAAGCAATTTTCTACACAAATTACTTTACATTCTAATTCAATGCCATATCAGCGACATTTCGCCGTTTTAATCGTCTCTGTTGTCCATACGAAGTTATGATGTTAACAGCTTCTATGTTGACATGTTGCTGCAACCTCAGTTTGTGTCTTGTTGCTTTCTGTTTTATTTCTTCAGCGACTGTGGACAATTTTAGATCGCGATGTATATCGCTGTTCTTAATGTACCATGGCGCATTTAAAATGTTCCGTAGAACCTTGTTCTGGAAACGTTGGATTATTTCGACGTTACTTTGGCTAGCGCTCCCCCATAGTTCAGCGCCATACGACCATACAGGTTTTAAAATTTGATTATATAGCAGAATCTTGTTTTGCATAGATACTGTGGATTTGCGGCCAATCAGCCATTCCATTTTTCGCAACTTCATGTCAAGCTCGTCCCGTTTCTTTTTTATGTGTTCTTTCCACCGAAGTTTTGCGTCCAACGTTATACCAAGATATTTTGCAGTATTGGCATATGGTATTTGAGTACCTTGAATCGAAATAGGAAGATACTGTATTTTTTTATTTGTAAAATCCACATGAACAGATTTAGCAGAATTCAGTTTGATACGCCATCTTTTTGTCCAATTGTCTAACGAATTTGTAGCTGTTTGTAATTTGGCTATTGATTCTTCAACGGAGTCAGCAATCGCCAAAATAGCAGTATCATCTGCAAATGTTGCAATTTTATTTTCAGGTGTTATTGGCAAGTCCATTGTGTAAAGCAGGTACAGTAGTGGACCGAGTACACTGCCCTGAGGTACACCAGCTTTTATCGCAGAAAGATTTGAATAGCAGTTTTCGTGTTTTACATAAAAGAACCTCGAGGTAATGTAAGACTTCAAAATCGCAAAATATGACGACGGCAAACATGTTTCTAGTTTATTCAAAAGACCTTTGTGCCAGACTTTGTCGAAGGCCTGTGCGACATCGAAGAATACAACAGAACACACTTTTTTACCTTCAATAGCCCTTTCAATTTCATCGACAATGCGGTGTACTTGATCTATAGTTGAATGCTTACCACGAAAACCAAATTGATGGTTTGGTATTAGCTTTTCGGATTTTATTATAGGCACTAGTCTCTTGTAGAATAGCTTTTCAAAGAGCTTCGAAATAGTTGGTAAAATTGAAATTGGTCTATATGACGATATGCATTCTAGTGGCTTGCCTGCTTTTGGAATCATTTTTACTTCTGCGATTTTCCATAGGCTAGGAATATATTTTAGATTTATTGTTGCATTGAATTGCATTAATAATTTGCGAACAGCTTTACCTGGTAACTGCTTTAAAACTTCGGATGTTATAAGGTCAAAGCCAGGCGCCTTTTTATTTTTCAAATCTTTTATTGCTGATTTTAATTCGCGCTTTGTTATTCGATCGATTTGCTGATTTCTACTCTCTGTGACAGTCAGTAATTCATCACACTGTATAATTTTGATAAAAATTCCTTTTTTAATTCGCTTTTTAATTAAATCGCTTTTTAAATTTTACTATAAAATTTAAGTATTTAAGTTTCTTTTACACTCGCCCGTTAGATATTCTTCGTTTATAATTTTGATAAAAATTTCTTTTTTAATTCGCTTTTTAATTAAATCGCTTTTTACTTGCACTATTATATTAGAATATCGACAGTTGTCTTCCCGGGTTTCGGCACCATGTAGAAAATATAGTTTTCACATGAAATAAAATACAACTGTATGCTGCGAGTGTGCATTTATTACCACTTTTAATAAAAAAGAATAATTCAATAGTAAGTATAAAGTTAAAAAAAAAAGAGATTAAAATATTAATTCATGATAAGAGATAAGAGATATTTATGATATTAAGAGATATTTTTTACAATGTCTTCACATGAGGCAACAGCCGTTAACTTGATTAAAACCAAGTTGAAGGGTACTGCCATAAACTTAATTACTAATGAACTGACTGTAGAAGCGATAATACAGAAGCTTCAATCATCCGTAAAGGGTGAATCAACGGAAGTAATAAACGCGAAGATGATGAATGTAAGGCAGAACAGTATGTCAGCCAATGCATATACAGAAGAGATTGAGGAGCTTACGAAATCTCTGGAAAATGCTTACATTTCGGATGGATGTACACCCCAACTAGCATCAAAATATGCAACCCAAACAGCGGTAAAGGCAATGACGAAGAACTGCACCATTGATAAAGTCAAATTAATAATGGAAGCAGGACAGTTTAATAATTTGGATGAAGCAGTGTTAAAATTTGTAAATAGCTGTACGGAATCTACAGGCAGCACAAATACAATATTATTTACAAGAAACAGAGGATATCGCGGAAGTCGCGGATATTATCGTGGACGTGGTAATTCCCGAAGAGCTAATATCAACTACAACAACTATAACAGTAACAACGGAAATAACTTCAATAGGAGATATAATAATAATTACCGTAGTAGAGGTGTCAGTAATTCCTTTAATAATAGAAATAATGATGGAAGGAATGTTAGAATGACCCTTACGGAAAACGAGGTAACCCCCGATACTCAATAGATAAACACAAAAATGGTAAAATCTTTAATATAAATTTAAATTTAACCTCATACATTTCCACAAGATTAACCATGAACAGTGGAATATCTACATTTTTAGTAGACACTGGTGCGGATATTTCGTTAATAAAACTAGGACAAGTGCAAGATATTTATATTGATAAAAATAAAACAATAAGCCTTCACGGCATTGGTCATGATACAGCTACTACACTAGGTAAAGTCACAACCGATTTAAAGGTTGAAAATATACTAATTAAACACGAATTTCATGTAGTAGATGATAAATTCCCAATCCCATCATTGGAATCATTGGACTCGATTTCGTCAAGAAATACAATTGTATACTTGACTATCAAAAATATCAAGATTGGTTAATCTTGCGACCAGATGATTTCCATGAGGATATCGCAATACCAATGAGGTATTCACCAAGTGTTGGTACGATAACAATACCGGCAAGATCTGAAGTGGTTAGACAGGTGAATGTACACTCTTCGGAAAAAGAATTATTAATTCCACAGCAACAACTCCAAGACGGAATATTTGTTGCCAATACAATAGTAACAACACCTAGTGTATTAGTGCGACTAATAAATACAACATATAAAAATGTTGAAATACCAATTCATTCAATAAAAACTGAGAGTCTAAACGACTATGAAATAGTTACACTTAGTACCATCGCAAACGACCAATTAAAATTGCAAAAATTGTCCAAAAACTTTCCAGACTTTGTTAAGTCTGATTTAACTAAACTCTGTTCGGAGTATATTGATGTATTTGCGCTCGAAACTGATAAAATATCAGTTAACAATTTTTATAAACAAAAACTTAGATTAAATACAAACGAGCCTACATACATCAAGAACTATAGAATACCGCATAATCACAAAGAGGAGATAACACGACAAGTTGACAAGCTAATAAATAATGGTATAGTGGAACCTTCAGCTTCTGAATACAACAGTCCCATTCTGTTAGTTCCGAAGAAATCACTCCCAGGAACTACACAGAAAAGATGGAGGCTAGTTGTTGATTATAGAAGCATAAATAAAAAACTCATTGCAGATAAATTTCCGTTGCCAAGAATTGATGACATTCTTGACCAACTAGGCAGAGCGAAATATTTCTCTTGCCTTGACTTAACGTCAGGTTTTCATCAAATTGAGCTCGATGAAAACTCCAGAGATATAACGTCTTTTTCGACAGAAAAAGGTTCATATCGCTTTAAAAGGTTACCGTACGGACTAAAAGTAGCACCAAACTCATTTCAAAGAATGATGACCTTTGCATTCGCGGGTTTAAAAGCCGAGCAAGCTTTCTTATACATGAACGACTTGGTGGTGTTAGGTCGGACGGAAAAGCATATGCTCAGAAATTTGACAGATGTTTTCCATACATGCCGAAAATATAATTTAAAACTTCACCCTGAAAAATGTTTATTTTTTCAACAAGAAGTAACTTATTTAGGGCATAAATGTACGGATAAAGGCATTCTTCCTGATGATAGTAAATTCAATATAATTCTTAAATATCCAACTCCCAAAAATGCCGATTAATTCAAACGATTCGTTGCTTTTTGCAACTACTATAGGAGATTTGTTCCAAATTTCGCTGAACATTCACGTCTCTTAACTAAGTTATGTAAAAAGAACGCACATTTCGAATGGACCAATGAATGTGAAAAAGCATTCCAATTTTTAAAATCTGCATTATTAAGTCCAAATATATTGCAATACCCAGACTATACAAAACAGTTTTGTATCACCACCGATGCAAGTAAATATGCTTGTGGTGCTGTGCTCAGTCAGGAGCACAATGGGTTTCAACTTCCAGTTGCTTACGCCTCAAGATCGTTCACGAGGGGAGAAAGCAACAAATCCACTATAGAGCAAGAATTAGCCGCAATACATTGGGCTATAAAATATTTTCGACCATACATTTATGGTACAAAATTTCTTGTCAAATCAGACCATCGACCATTGTCATACCTATTCGCAATGAAGAATCCATCTTCAAAGCTAACGCGAATGAGACTAGACTTGGAGGAATATGATTTTACCATAGAGTATCTGAGGGGAAAAGAAAACTATGCTGCTGACGCATTGTCGCGCATGGACTTTAATGAAATAAAGGAAATAAGAGAAACAGCCAATAAAATATTAAAAGTAACTCCAAGGCTGGGAAACAAAAACAAAAAAAGATCAGAAACAAATGAAGAGATTTGTAATAAAATGTCATCAACCTTAAAAATATACAGCGTTCA